AATCCCATAATATGGTATATCACAATAAATAAATATGAATTTTTAAAAGAATAATAATATGCTGAAAATAATAAAAACAATCGTTAAATAAAGGCATAAAGACAGCTAAAATTGGGCTCGTCCGGGATTTGAACCGGGACTCTCGCACCCAAAGCGAGAATCCATGCCCCATAGACAACGAGCCCAGTATGCCGGTATTGTACTCGTAGGTATGACAGGCTTTAGTTCCTTAGCAGTGATATTAGAAATAGCTGGCCAGAAACGCCACAAGCTTCTTTAGTGAGAAAGCGATTGATTTTCCATCATGGTATATCACAATAAAGTTAAATGCAATTTTTAAAGAATACATTAATATGCCTGAATAATAAAAACAATCGTTAAATTAAAGCCATAATAAAGCTAAAATTGCGCTCGTCCGGCCGATTTGAACCCGGGACCTCTCGCACCCTTAAGCCGAAGATCATACCCCTAGACCAACGAAGGGCACACTTTCGAGACAAATCTGCTTACTTGCCTCTACTGTCTCATAAAACACTGAACGCGATGTTGATGTCACAGTGCGTGAAATTAATTCGCTCAGTTACTGGCCAGTGCTTGCGGTTACTTTGTCATAATATAAAGCCGGACAAGCCACTAACGGCTAGATTAACATGATATGGCATATTTTGAAAACAGTGTGCTAGCCTCTACGCTTAGCCTTCTTCAGGCCTGCCCCAAGAACTAAATATAACAAGGAGATGAAGCGGTGATTTGGCTGTGTGCTTTTCGCCTCAAGGGCGGCCCCATCTATGGACATAATCTAGCGTGAAACAGGCCTGCTGCAGACCGAAACACAGAGAAAATAGGACACTAATTCAGAATCTCGTTCTAGGGTCTCTGTCCGAACCCAAATTTGCCGCCAGACATTATGGCGGCCTTCCTAGCTCTCCTTGTTATATTTAGCCTCCTTGGCCTCGCCCTAGCTAGCTCCACCAGCAGTTTTCATGCACTTGGCAGCGGCATCAATGTCGCCCCCACCACACGTCACGCTACAACACACATACTCTGTGTGGCTGTGCCACAGGCACTTGGCAGCGTCTTCAATAAAAATATAATGCTAAATAATACGAAACGATCTATTTAACACCAAAGTCTTTAAATAATATGCTACATTCAGACAAGGGAAATATAGATACACAGAGATTGTGAGATTCGAAAGAGAAGTGGGAAAACGAGTGAGTGAGAGATGGATTGTGAGAGACAGTGAGCGCGAGCAAGAGAGCGATGAAGAGAGGGAGGGAGAGAGAGAGAGAGAGAGAGAGAGAGAGAGAAAGAGAGAGAGAGAAAGCAATAGGAAAGGAAAGCCAGAGCGAGAAATACTTGTTCTGATTATGATTTGTCCCGTGATTCTAACTGCTACCTTTAAGAACTCTAGCACAGAATACTCATCTCCACTTCTGACAAGGTCGAAAAATTCCTTCTCTTCATTACGCAACTGAGGTAGGAGTGTGAAGCTTGGTCTAATCCTGACAATGAGTAGTCATAGGAAAATAATATACTGTGAAACAGCGATTGCAGTGTCGATTTGATATCAAACATAAAGAGTATTAAATATTGATAAGAACCTTATTTCTGAGTATGGGTAACTTTGAAAAATATCAGAGATACTTCTGTACTAAAATGTACATAATCAAACAGGGAGTAATTACGTTTTAGCACATTAATGCTATAAATGCACACACTTGACAGAAATAATCAAGGGGGCCGATCTGTCCCTCTGTAAACGTGACTCACTTATATATGGATGTGCCAGACAAAGGACGAGATTCCTTATCCTTGGGTTGATCAGGAATTGGCGTGTAGCCCTGTTGCTGCTTGCCAGATGACTTGTACTTCATAGCTCTTTACTTGAATTTCTTTGGCTGATTCTCACTGCAAAGTTGTTTGTTTTAACAACAGATAATAACCATTTAACACAAGTGATCGGAATTTAAGTGTGAAATATATTGCCACTCGATCCATAAATAATATAAAATGGTTTAACCTAGTGTGACACTGGTAGTGCTTGAACCCGGTTTATAGGCGACGAAAATTAGCAACCTAGTGAGTAGTGGTAGAAAAGTTAACTACAGCACAAAATAGTAGTTTAGTACATGTATAATGATGTATGCAAAACATTTTACATTGTCCTTTACACGATTACGGATTTGTATTACTATTACGGTTACGATGCATTACGATGGTTTATGATGCACGCATTCCAGCTGAGCTGTCATCCAATGTGACCCTATTTCCCACTATATGAAGTAATTCGCATTGAAGCTGAACTGTGAATAGCTCTGTCAAAATTGGGGCATGCAACTTAACAGTTATACTTAATTTATACGCGGTTTTTTAGACCTACACGCAGAGCAATTTTTTGTTGTTTCCACTCCATTGAAATGCAGACAACAACAATGGCGGTCTTTTTGGTAACAATTGAGCATTTAGTTTTGTGTGGCATACTCAAAATTTTCTTTCACAGATAACTTATATTTTTATTAGTTATTGTTCTGATTAATGCAATGTTGGTTTGTTTAGGGGGGGGGGTTATGCCTTTGTATGTGTGCGCGCGTTACTCGTGTTATTACGCGTGTTATACGCAATGCATTTACAATTTAGTTTGTGAGTGAAACGCATTTTCAGAGAGTGCGTTCAACGAATAGGTTCCACGAGTCTGAGCCACGAGTCAGTGAGGCTGAGAGGGTCTATGTCCCCCAGTAGTGGGGCGGATATGTGACATTTTTTACTTAAAGTGTGCACTTCTGGAAAGAAGCATGAAAATTTGCTCTAGGGGGGTTTTGAGTATGCTGATTTCAAAAATTGCGGGAAACACGATGTCACTCCAACGGTTCCCGCCAAAAAATTAAAAATTAAAAATGGCCACCAGAAAACATGTTTTTGCCCATAAATCAGCTGTAAGTGCCCCGATTACCATGATCTTGGCGTCTATACCTATGTTTTTGAAGTCAAAGAATGCAATAAAACTCTTGTCAAATATCATAAGATATATCTTAATTCCCGCCAAAAAGTTGAAAATTCAAAATGGCCACCACAAAACACAGTTTTGCCCATAAATCAGCTGTAAGTGCACCAAGTACCATGATCTTGGTTTCTATACATATGTTTTTGATGTCAATGAACCCCATAGAACGGCTATAGAACACATTGTGATCTATCATAACATCTTCCCGCCAAAAATATTTAATCCAAAATGGCTGCCACAAACGCATTTCTTTGCCATAAAATGGCTATACGTGCCACGATTACCAGGATCTAGGTATCTATACCAGTTTTTATGTCAAGGAACCCGATGGAAAACATGAAATATCCTAACATACATCTTCAAATTAAACAAATACAATATAAAATGTTTTTAGGTCAAAGAACTCGGTTACACATATGTGAAAAATCATGATGAAAAATCATGCCATCTATACTTTAGTTCATAATTTCTGTTACACTTTGGAAGGTACGCCTGCGTGCCTGCCAAAACGTCGTTCCTTAGATCACAGCGTGAACAAAAATATGTTGCCTATGTGGAGTCACTTAATTGGAAAGATTATTCCGTGAATGTTCGCTCTTGACCACTATCACTATGCTCGCTGGATGACTGTTCATGTGAGAGATATTTCTGGCCCTCGAGATTAACTGCCATACCACACATGCAGAGTTCCTCAAAGGCAACTTTGTGACACAGAAAACCATGCACAAATTCTCAGCACTAGCCCATGATCAAGTTTATGAAAAGCTGAATGCAATGGTGAAGGGAGATGGAAGCGTAATAGGTATCACTGAAAATAAAGCAGCACTGAGACGGTGGATGGTGGCAGGTCCAGAAACAGCTAGACTATTAATGTAGTATGATGACAAACATTTAATTAAAAATAAGGACACAGAACGCCACCATGAACAAATACCAAGTGTGCAGAAGGCTTGCTTGATACCAAACAGATAATGTCCGATAGTGTGGTAGATACTATAAGGTCCGCAGAAGACATAGGCAAAGCACAGTACCAGAAATTTGTTGCGGAGCGTATCAATGACAATATCACTGGCGTAGCTAAGGGGGGGCACAAGGGGGCCATGCCCCCCCCCCTGTTGATTGGCAAACAAAACAAAACAAAAATTTTTCCTTGCCTCTCACGCGTCTTCACAGGACTGGCCACAATTCCTGTTACTTCTGCATCTGCTGAACGAACATTCTCTAAAATGAGCATTGTCAAGTCTAAACTTCAAGTCTAAACTACAATGACCCAGCCACGATTCGCTGCTCTCATTCTCCTTTTCGTTGAACAGGAGTTAG